CAGTAAATGGTGATACAGGAAGCTAAACCAGCGGTAAGTATTTCAAATACCGGCAGGGCCACTCTGCCTGGTCGACAGGGTTCAGCTGAGCTTCCATCTAAGATAGACCAGGAAGAAAGGCCTGGTGATCTAATTTTGAAAATCAGTCAATGGAAAGCCTACAGATCACAGCAGCCTGCTACCCAATATAGTGCTGAAAGATGCCTTCCAACCTAAGTTCTTTGACTATATTAGCCCACTGCCTTCCAGCTTTCAGAGTTTCCTAGGAGACTTACTGATATCTCAGTTTGATTTACCAAATAGAGAAATGCATGAAAATGTCTTACAATAGTGGTGAACTTTTCTTTTTCCTTTTAGCCCTGTCAGTTTTTACTTTATATCCTTTTGAGATTGTTACTTAAAAAAGCTCACTGCCGTCAAGTGGATTCCAACTCCTTCTGACCCAAAGGACAGAATAGGGCATCCCCATAGGCTTCTGAGACGTAACGCTTTATGGGAGGAGAAAGTCTCTTCTTTCTCCCAAGTGGCCGCTGATGGTTTTAAACTGCTGACCTTGCAGTTGGCAGCTCAACACATAACCCACTATGACATCAGGGCTCCACTGGAGATTATGTTATTAGATGCATGTAAGTGTAGAGTCGTTATAACTTCCTGTAAATTCTTTATTATTATATGACAAGGTCTTGCCTCTAATTGTTGTTATTTTTTGCCTTAAAGTATATTTTATCAGATAGTAATATAGTTAAACTGACTTTATTTTGGTTGCTATTTGCCTGTTCACGTAGTACTCCCATTTTATCCTTTTAAACTTTTCTGCATAGTTGATTTGCAGAGATGGATGTTGTCACTGGAACCCTGGTGGTGTAGTGGTTACCCATTGGGCTGCTAACCACAAGGTCGGCAGTTCAAAACCATCAGCTGCCTCTCAAGAGAAAGATGAGACTTCCTACTCCTGTAAAGAGTTATAGCCTGAGGAACCCACAGGGGCAGTTCTACTCCGTCCCCCCCCACAGGTTACCCTGAGTCAGAATTGACTTGGTGGCAGTAAGTTTGAGTTTTGTTGTGATTGAATCTTATTTTTATAAAGGTCTGATTTTGGGAAGTCTCTTTGTGGTATGTACTGATTTAGTTGGCTCTCTTCCTACCTTCTTATCTTGCGTTCATGTGTCCGGCATTTTCCATTCGTTTCTCCCTTCCATGGTCTCCTTTTGGAGGGATTTCCTCTGATGATCCCTTTTTAGAATTCTAGTGGTTCGGAAGGTTCCTGTTCCCTGCTTACATTCTTGCGTACGAGAATCCCGAATTTGTAAAAATTCAAATACTTCTTCGAGGTGAGGACGGCGAGTCTGGCTTTCGCACTTTGGACATGTCATCAGGAAAGAGGCGCAGGGCCGCTGAGAACCAGACCCTCCGGAGACTGACTGTCAGCCGTGACGACGCAGGCTCCATGGACGTAGCCGCCATCGTGGAAGTTTCCACGCACTGCCGCTGAGTCCACAGCAACAGAGGACAGTGACTCTAATCTCCTCTAAGATAATGCAGGCACCGTGGAGCCAGTCCAGTCCAAGCTCGCCCCTTCCCAGTTCACTGCTGTTGGTACCCAGGAAGTTGTCCCGTATTTCCCACATTTTTTTTAATCCCAGAGATTGCACACTTGTCATGCTAGGTTTGCACAGCCAGCTTCTGTGTCGGTTTAACCTCATCGTTGTCATTTCCGTTGCTCAAAATTCTTGCTTTGTGTTTCTGCTCTTCATTTGGGGCCTTTTTCTTGTCTTCCTTTGGCCTCACTTCATCCTTTAAAAGTTCATTTATTGAAAAAGGTCATCAAAAGCACTCTCTTAGTTTTCTCTACATTATCTGTGCATTTTCTCTTTAATCTGTGCATTTTCATCCTAATGCCTGCAAACTGTTTTGCTCCGGCCCACAGTTGGGAGTTCTCTTCTTTAAGCACACTGAAAGCATTCTCCTATGACTTTCCTTCCATTACTACCATCGAGAAGCCAGCTGTTTGTCTGATTTGTCTGTTCCTGGGGAGCTAGTGGTTACAGATTGGGCTGTTAGCTGCAGGGTCAGCAGTTCCAGTCCACCAGCTCTGAGGGAGAAAGAGGAGGCAGTCTACTCCTGTGAAGAGTTACAGTCTCAGAAGCCCACCAAGGCTGTTCCACCCTGCCAAAAGTCTTGGTTTGTAGGTAAAATGCCCTTTAATTAAGAGAGGTATAAAACCTATTGGATAAAGATAGGGCCTATGGAGTTAGACTGCCTGGATTTGAAATCCAGCTCTTTGATTTACAATCTGTGTGATCTTGGACAAGCTTTCTATATATCGATGAAAGGAGCCTTAGGAGCCTAGTGGGCTAAGCACTGGGCTGTTAACTGAAAGGTCCGTGGTTCAAACCCAGCAGCCACGGGAACCCATGGGAAAACGATGAAGCAGGCTACTTCTACGCCTTAAGTCCCCAGCAATACTATGAGACACTTGTACTTTATCCTGCAGGTCACTATGAGTCCGAATTGGCCAAATGGCAGTAGGGTTTTGGTGTCTCTGTGTGTCTCAGTTTCCTCTTCCGTAGAACCTGCTTCCGCGTAGTTACGGTGAGGATCCAATGTTAGCCATTGAAGTGTTAGCTGTCAACCTGCTTCCTCTGAGGGTCTGCTGCCTTTGCTGCCCAGCCCGTTCGCTGTGATGACTCTAGGTGGGGAGTGCTGTGGATCTGCCCTGGTTGGAATCGGCTGAGCTCTTTGAATCAGTGAATTGGCGCCCTTTGTCAACACTGGGAAGTCTTAGGCACTGTTTCTTCAAGTACTGCCGCTGCGCTGCTCTCTCTCCCCGCTCGTCTGGAGCGTCGTCAGCTCAATGAGTCCTGTTCACCTCGCCCTTCGTCGTGTGGTTCTCTGTGCTGCAAATATTCCGGGTGATTTTTGAAGCTGTATCTTCCAGTCCACTAACTCACTTCAGCTGTGCCTAATATGCTATTAACACTACCCACTGAGTTTAAAATTTTTAATTATTATTATTGTATTTTCATTTCCAGAAGCTATATTTGGTTCTCAACCACAGCTGCTTGGTCATTTTGTATAGTTTTTTATGCCTTCACCCGTATGTTCGACTCTCCGTTTTATTGCTCTCACGATATTATGAGAGTATATTTTCCATCCTGGTCTGATAAGGGGCCGTAGTAAGCCTGTGCTGGTCTGCGTCTGCTACCTGTTGTTGCTTAGCCCCGTGAGCCTGGTGTAACAACCCCTGAGGTGAGGCCAGCTCACATTTTGAATTGTGAAAGGTTATTCTTAATATGAGGAGCCCTGGTGGTGCAATAGGAGACCTGGTAGCTTAGGGGATTACATGCTGGGCTGCTGACTACAAGGTCAGCAGTTCAAACCCATCAGCCTCCTCGCAGGAGAAAAAGGAGGCCGTCTGCTCCTGTAAAGATTTAGAGCCTCAGAAACTCAGAGGGGACAGTTTGACTCTGTCCAGAGGGTCTCTGTGACTCTGGTTTGACTCAGTGGCTCTAAGTTTGATGGCACAACGGTTAAGCACTTAGCTACTAATCAAAACGTTGGCAGTTCGAGCCCACCAGAGCCTCTGTGGGAGAAAGGACTTGGCGATGTGCTTCTGTAAAGATTACAGTCTAGAGAACTCGATGGGGGCAGCTCCACTCTGCCCCTACAGGGTTGCTCCAACTTGGGAGAGACTCCATAACAGGAGCAGTGATTCTTCATGTGTTTCCCCTACTTCCTCCCAGGGTGTATTTCGTCTGCAGCCCTCCCGCTGTCACCTGTGGGCCTGCCCCAGGAATAGGAACCTACTCAGGGCAATGGGGGTTGTTGTTGTTGTTTCCAGTTTACCCTTTGAAAGGCTGACTCATTTGCACGGTTAAAAAATGGGAGTGGGAGGATAGTCTCTTCCCACCACCCTGTCCTTTCCCTGATGCCCCGGCCCTGGCTATTCAGCTCCTGTGGACACAAGGGATATGTTATGTATATTCAAGCAAATACAAATCTAGAATAACATTTCCCCCTTTTTTTTTCACGCAAACGGTAGTACAGTACACATGCTACTCTGAGCTTGTTTTTAATAAAAATATGTTCCTGGTTATAAAAGAAATACATGCTCATTTTGACTAACATAAATATCCACATAGCTACAAGTACAGAGTGAAAATCCCCCTGGAATTTTATTCCCCAGAGATAATCTCCATTATGCATCTATAAATATGTATTTATACATAAACGGGCTTATGCAACAGGGCCTGTTCTATAACCTCTATGTGCATGTGGAGTGTTTTCTCTCTTGGTCTAATAATACTTCTTACCACCACCCTCTCCGTGTCAGTGAGTGCCAGGCGGGCCGTTGCTCAGGAGAGCCCAGGAGTTCAGTGCCCAAGCTTTCGACCCAGCAAGACCCAGGTTCTAACCCTAGCCCTGCTGATTAGTACCGATGGGCTCTTCAGACCCTGTCTGAGTCTCAGTTTTCTCATCCGTAAAATGGGGTCAGTAATCGCCCATGAGGTGCCCTGGGGGTGAAGGGGTTACCCATTCGGCTGCTACTCACAAGGTTGGCAGTTCAAACCCACCAGCGTCTCCGTGGGAGGTAGAAGTGGCCATTCACTATTGTAGAGATGACGGCTTTAGAAACTCCAGCAAACAGTTCAGCTCTCTTCCATAGGGTCCCACTGTGCTTCGGAACTGACCCAACACCATGGGAGTTTGAATGCAGTGCATACCTCCTGGCAGACTCACATGGGAGAGGCTTCCTCTGGGGCCAGCCCTCACATAAGCCCCTGCCGAGTGGCCAACTTTTATTATGACTCCCTTTTTAGTGGCCTCATAGAATCCATAGTATGATGTGTCTGTTGACCATTTCCCCTTTGATGGACATTGCCTCCCACCCAGAGGTGATGTTGGACACGGAACGTACATCTTTCTCCTCTGTGAGTGGCTTCCTGCTGTGGATTCCCTGCAGTGGGGTCTCTAATCCCTGCACCCTTTTTCTCTCCAAGGAGGAAGTGGAAATGCCACGTGGGGTGAAGCATGTGTGTTACGTACGTAGGTCTTCTCTTCGTTACTCTCCATCTCCTTCCTTTTATCGGGGGACACCCCCCCCACAGTAGATGCAGTCATTGCCCCTCTAACTTGCCCAGCTAGAGCATCCCAGTATTCCCATCCCGTCTGACACTGAGTTACAGTGGAACACGCTCACTTCATGATCGTTCATTCAAGGAGACAATGTCAGAGCCACCTGCTTCCAAAATCAAGTCTCCTGGGATTTACAATCAATGCCAAGAAGCAGCCCACACTGAAAATGAGATTAAAGCACAGAAAGTTGGAAGGAGACCTTCAGCCTCTGCCAGCCTTGCAGCGCTCTAACTGCTAGGCTCGAAGCTCGCGTTGAGCGCGAGAGCAGGTCCAGGGCTGGACGCAGCAGTTCCTTCAGAAGACCAGAAACCACCCTGCTCATTGAGTGGGTCTCGAAGGGCTTCCTCTCAGGGACACTAGAGGCGAGGGGGGCGGTGTGATTGCACTTGTGGCTGACAGGAGGAATGATGGATCTGATTATCATGTGCCTGCCTCCTAGGAGGAGCACAGAGCCAGCAGGGACCCCCAAGAAGGGTGCATGACGGGACTGTGAGGAAGGGTTGGCGGTTGAGTCAGTCAGGAGAGGTGCCCCCCAGATGACATGCATGTCTGTTCAGGAGGAGGGCTAGAAGAGCCCCTAAAGGGGTCAGTTAGCTCTGGACCACCAGAGGATGAACGGGGAAGGAGAGAAGAGGAAGGAAGTCGGGCCCCTCTCTTGGGACGGGGAGGCCAGGCAGTCCACGCATCTTCACTGCAGTGTTCTGGGCCAGACTCTCTAGGCACTTGGGAAGCAGCAAGAACCAAGGCAAGGCGTGTTCCCTGTGCTCACAGAGCCAATGGTCTGGGCACGCGCACGCGCACGCGCGCGCACGTGTGTGCGTGTGCGTGTGCGTGTGCGTGTGCGTGTGCGTGTGTGTGTGTGTGTGTGTGTGTGTGTGTGTAAACAGGTGAGGGGAGCACAGGTCCCCCGGGCACCCCGCCTCTGACCTTCTCTCCCCAGCAGCTTGGTTCCGGGCCTGTCATCCGGCTCCTGGGGGCCATCAGCCACAGTTCGGCCGGGGGCCTGCAGCCCGCCAAGCTGGAGGCCCTGGAGAACTTTATGGAGGTCTTGCCTGCTCGGGCATCTGGGAAGAGGCTAGGCCCCACCGCCCAGCGTGCCACTGAGTGCCAGGTACAGAGGGCCCTACACACACATCCCACTGCATGCTGTTGAGCAGCGCCCCTTCCCACCCGGTTCACGTAGCTACCCCTGCGGCTCAGAAAGGGGGTGCCTGGCCGCAAAGAGGATTGGGGCCCTGTGGTATGGGCAGGGAGCAGGCAGCCTTTGGTCTGCTGCCCAGCGTCCTCCACTACCCCCTTCAGAATGAACAGCATGGGCTCTCAGGGTCCCTCCTTCTTGACCTCATCGTCTCTCACAGGAGGAGGTGCTGAGTGACCAGGGACAGTGCTTGCACCTCAGCCACAGTGGTTCTTTGGGGAGATAACTCGGAGGAGGCCATCCCCCCACCGCCCTCCCCCAGCCTGACTTCCTCTCCTCTCCCGCTCAGGCCCTGCTTGCACAGTGCAGAGCAATGGCCGCTGACAAGGAGGAGGCTGGTGGAGGAGAGGCGGGTGAGGACTCAGGTGAGGGCCCTTGGAGGTGCCCCCAGCTGCCCCCTCTCTCTCAGTGACTGCTGGGGAGGGTCAGGCCCGCTATTGGTCTCCAGCCCCTGCCAGGAATCCTCCCTTCTCCTCCCTAACACACTGTCCTTCTCCGAAGGGGCTGGGCTGCCGGCTGCCTGGACCTACTTCCCAGATGCATGGGGACAGCCTGGGTCCCGAAGGGTGGGGCCCTTCCCCCACTTGCCTGAGCCCCTCAGCATGGTGTTCACCCCTCCCCCATCACTCTCCTGGGTACTCTTGGGAGTCCAGCCCTGGGGTCTCACTTTCCTGTAGCTCCGCCTCGGCACGAACAGGAGAAGCTGCCCCAGGATGTCAGGGTGCGGGGCACAGTGGTGCACACCCTGCAGAAGGCACTGACGAGTCGGTAAGGCTGTGCTCCTCATCTCGGACCCTGGCAGGACCATCCCCGCCCATCACCACCTGCCAGTGCCCGTGGGCAGCATGATGGGAGGCTGCGCTGGGTCTGACTCGCCCCCTTGTGTAGCTGTGAGGTTCCCCGCATGCAGCTGTGTGTCCCCCCAGCCCTGGAGAGCCACAGTGAGAGCCCCTCTCTGGCTCCAAGGTTGAGCTGGCCCAGGCTCTGCTCAGGTCCACCTGACTGTCACCCCCAGCAACACCCTCAGGGTCCACAATGAGACTGCTGGGAGAGGGTTCCGGAGCTGAGCACGGAGCTCTTGCTTACAGACGGTGAGCGAGTTAGGGGCGCTGTGCAGAGGCCTGTCAGACAGAACCTTAGCATGACTTCTGAGGTCTCCTGGCCTCCACCCAGGGCCCTGTTCCCTCCCTGGTCCTGTGCCTGACACCCACGCTTCCCCCGCTTCCACACAGACTCCAGTTCCACTGGCCCAGGGGTGGTGTGTGGGTCCCACCGTCAAGACAGGTCTCCGCTGTACCATTGACCGTGTGACCTTGGGCGAGTCCTGTATCTTACCGAAACCCCGGCTCCCTGTCTGAAAACGAGGAGGAGCAAAATGCTACGGCACAGGCCGGGATGAAAACCAGTGGGTGCTATAGGGTGAGGGCACAGGACGGAAAGTGGCTTTGGCTTGTAACACCCCTGTATCCCCATCTTGCCCCCCTCAGCCTGAAGGAGCTCCCACACCTGGTGCTGAGTGAGAAGGCCCTGGGGCGCCTAGCTGCGAGCATCGAGGCGGCCCTCTTTGACCTAACCCGGGACACCACCTGCCGCTACAAGACCAAGTACCGCAGCCTGGTGTTCAACCTGCGGGACCCGAGGAACCCAGTGAGGCTTCCAGGCTGCAGAGCCGTGGTCACCGGGCAGGGCGTGGGGCTGGGGGCCTCTGAGTAGACTGCAGCCCCTGCTTCCTGCCCTGCAGGACTTGTTTCTCAGAGTGGTTCGTGGGGACCTCACCCCCCACAGCCTGGTGCGGATGAGCTCAATCCAGCTGGCCCCTCAAGAACTGGCCCGCTGGCGGGACCAGGAGGAGAAAAGGGTAAGCCAGTCATTCAGAGGAGGGGAGAGGGCAGGGGTGATGGCCAGGAGAGGGGCCAAGAGAGCTTCCCTACAGGGCAACAGCGACAGAACTGAGGGTGGAGAGCTAGGTGGTGACACCCCCGAGAGGGGCCTACTTCTGGGGGTGGCAGGGGTGTGGGGGAGTCGTTCAGAGTCTGGAGTCAGGGTTATCATAGTCTGGAGTCAGGGTTATCATCAACTAGAAGGGATAGTCCCCTTGGGTGCCCCTCTCTTTACCCCAGTCTGAGGAACCCCTGGGAGACCCCAGGAACCCCACACTCCTCAATCAGTCCCCATGCACCCTGTACCCGTGGGGCGCTCCTTGCTGGGCACTCCTCAGGGCCAGGGTAGGGTAGACACCGCCTGGCGTTGGAGACTGCTTGCCTGGTGGTGGTGGGCAGCTGAGTGTAAGGATTGGGGCCAGTGGGGAGGGGAGGAGCACTAAGACCCCTGTTGGGGAAGACGTTGGGCTGGCTATGTTGGATAATTGAGGCCAGTCAGTGATACAGCAGCATCTGCCATAAGCTTAGCTTCTATCCAGACACTGTTGGGGGTCCGGGGAGGGAGACTGGCTACATGAGCTGCAGGGCCCAGTGAGAAATGAAAATGCAAGGCCCTCTTGTCCAGAAACTGGGAAGAATCTCAACATGGTGCTTCCACGCTGTAAAGCAAGCACAGGGGGTCTTCCGCACCACGATACCATGAGCGTGACTGCCCCGCTGCCCGCCGAGCTGAGGGCCTCTGCCACCAGCAGTTCCTCGAAAAGAGGAGTCATCGTGCTTTCCGGAAGCAGTTCCCACGGGCGGACCGTGGTCCTCGCTAAGCATCACACTATGAATGCACCAGCCTCTACAGAGGCTGTTCGGTATCATGCTCTCGATGAATTTCCAGGGAAAGGAGAAGCCGACTGCCCCAGGCCCCACTGCCTGTGGCTCTTTATTAATGGTCTAGCCGGGACTCCACCACACCCTTCTCACTCAGGGCAGGGCTTGGGGTACAGACTGAGGCAGAATTGACTTGTGGTTAAAGGCAGAGCCCAGGAAGGCTTCCTAGAGGAGGCAGATTTGAATTGAGGGGCACATGAGTGGACTCTGGGGAAGTAGGGCAGAGACAAGAGGGTATTCCAGGTGAAGGGAGGGCAGAAACAAAAGTGTGGAAGAAGGGAAGGATCGGGCATAGAAGGAAAACCACAGGACAGGGGCCTCCAGGGAGGAGGGAGGGCACTTTGTGAGCAAAGATTCAGCGGAGCTTGGACTGCCAGGGCCTGGAGATCATTCAGCAGCAGCAGCAGCAGCAGCAGTGCAGCCTCCCAGCCACCAAGCTGACTCACAAGGGCGTGGAGGAAATCCCCAGGGACAATGACCAGACCCTGGAGGACCTGGTGGTAAGCATGGCCCTGACCTGCCTTTTGCCCCGAGACCCCACCCCTCGCCTCCCTTGCCATTGTTGTCTCAGGCAAGTTGTCGGACCACCGACCTGGTGGTTGATCCTGATGGAGACCAGTCCAGGCACCCCCGTGAGAAAAGCCATCAGTCCTAATATCTCAGACGTCCCACTTGTATCTTTGTTTGGGAAGCCAGGTGGCCACAGTGCTCCAGGCAGCGATCATTTTGGAAGTGAGGGCATCTTCTATTACCAACCTCTTCTATGCAGTGGAAGGGCCAGGGATGCTCCAGGCAGGGCACCATCAGGACCCAGGGCAGCCGGTTCAGCAGCCTTCCTGGACCTTGCCCCGGGACCTGAAAAATCACCAGGAGTCATCCGTGAGCCCAGGTCTCATCTGACTGCTGGGAATCTTGGCTCCGTCCTGCACCTCCATCTGGCACCCATCAGTTCTGCTTCTGCAGCCAATCAGCATGGCCCATAGGCCTGCCTTGGTTGCTCTCAGAAGAAGGCCACTTGGGCTCAGTTGAGTGACCTGGGGGTCACTTGCTCACCCTGGCCTAATTGGGGTACAGTCTGAGGCTTAGTAGTTACGCACCATAAGGTTGGCAGTTCAGAATCACCAAGCAGCTTTTCAGGAGAAAGATGGGGCTTTCTACTCCCTTAAGAGTTAACATCTCAGAAACCCACAAGGGAGGTTCTACCCTGTCCTATAGGGTCGCTAGCTATGAGTCGGCATTGATTTGATGGCAGTGAGTTTGATTTGGGGTTTGAGGAGCTGGGGAGCATGTTCTTTGACTCTGCATATTTATTGAGCACCGTCTGTGGCCAGGCCCCATCTAGGCATGGGTGAAACAGCACTAGACATGACAGACAGAAATCCATGACCCCTCCCTCCAGTTCCCCCACAGTCCACATCAGGAGATTGTGCATTGTGGATCAGGAGAAGCACTGCCAGAGAAGCCCCAAAGGAGGCGTAGCTGCACCCCCCCATCTGTATTCCTAGAACAAACAGAGGGAGATAGAGGGGGAGCTGCTAGGTGGCCTGGGGAGAAACCCCTGTCCCCTGAGAGAGGAGGGGCGGAGGTGGAGATGACACGTAATAACAATCTTTACTCTTACTGGACACCTACTATGTGCCCCCTTAGACCTAGTGCCTAGCTCGGACCTCACGTGCTATTAGTGTGCCCATTTCATGGATGAGGAGGCGCCTGAAGTCATTTCCCCAAGGTCATGAAGCTGGCATTTGGTGGAGATGGGATCTGAGTCTAGGCAGGTGGACTCCTAGCCAGTGCCATGGCCCTGCCCTGCAGGTGGTCTACGAGGAAGCGGGCTCATGCTCTTCCTGGTGATTTTCACTGTGGTCCCGTTGACTTTTGTGCAATCGGCTTGAAAAAGAAATCTATACACACACACACACACACACACACACACACACACA